GCATCATGTTTTTATTTCTGGGCCTGTGAAGAGCTGGAGAATGTTTTGCTAGTTGGCAGAAGTCTGATATTAAAATAGCTAGATACTACCAATCTAGAAAAATCTTTTCTTCCAAAACTAGAACTGTTAATTTAAAAGCATAAAACTGACTTTGTAAGAAAAGATGAGACACAATTATTAGGTCTGCAAATACAGACTACTTTATCTATTTTGTCCAGAGGGCTCCTGGAGAGTCTCTTGGCCTGTGAGGTCTATGGAGAGGGAGATGATATGTGCAACTATTGCTTTAACTCAAATAAGACTCATGATCCTAATAAAGGAGTAGGTATTGATCAAAATCCTTATTGTGAATGTTGGAGAAAAAAAGATACTCACTTTCAGACTTTTCTCCAATACTTGACAAGTCTGCACATTTGTACTCTGATTCACTGGAAACTTTTTTTTTTTTTTTGAGATTGAGTTTCACTCATGTTACCCAGGCTGGAGTGCAATGGCACGATCTCGGCTCACCGCAACCTCCGCCTCCTGGGTTCAGGCAATTCTCCTGCCTCAGCCTCCTGAGTAGCTGGGATTACAGGCACGTACCACCATGCCCAGCTAATGTTTTGTATTTTTAGTAGAGACGGGGTTTCACCATGTTGACCAGGATGGTCTCGATCTCTTGACCTTGTGATCCACCCGCCTTGGCCTCCCAAAGTGCTGGGATCACAGGCTTGAGCCACTGCGCCCGGCCTGGAAACTTTTTAAGTGGACTAGAAATCCGATACTGTGGTTTCTCAAGTTGTACATCACTATGATTCAAGCCTTCATATAAGGGACTTATATTTGTTCCTTTTAAAGACTTCTTTGCATAGTTTCAGTAAATAAATGCTCAATTGCTAGGTGATATATTTAAACTCTACCATATTATTATTTAGAATATTTCCTGCCAATCAATTTCAGTGAATAAAATATGTTTGACTGTCTATGGGTTTAAAAGAGAAATTCCAAGTAAGCTTTTCAGTTTCCAATGGACACTGGTGCTTAAAAGGGACCAGAGTAAAAAGAGAGGAAAGAAATGTCTACCATACCATCTTGGCTTGGTGGCCAAGACGTATTTCTGATAAAAAAATCTGTGAAGAGTTGTCTCAGAGGAGAGACTCTGTGTCAGTTCAGAAGGCAGAAGTTACATAGTAGCCTATTTTGCTTAATTAAAAAGAAAAAAAAACAGAGGAAAAGTCATTGGTTCAAGTCAGAGTCCATCCAGGTTTTGAATATTGTCTGGAGATAATTTTGTCCAGATCACAAAAGGCTAGGGGGAGAAAGCATGCTAACTTCAGTTACAGAGGGCTAGGAACTTGGTGAACAGATAGATAAGGGTATCTTGTGGTGGGAAGGGGAATGCCTATTAATACTACTTGTCTCCCAAAAATGAATATATTTAGTTATATCCATGCAGATATCTCTTGGGTATGGCTCAACTGCTTCTGTCATATATAGTTCTCAGAAACTAGAAATTATTATTGTCGTGTTTTTTACAGTCATCTTTAGAAAATTGTTTCTGAGCTTTTGAAGAAGGAAAGAAATAAAACCAGAATCTTAATTTGTGAAGATCTCTTTTTCAAAGCTTCTTTTTGCATGAACAGATTTTGCTTCTCATTGAAATAAGAGATAAGGGGCAACACAAAACATACGGCAATTTCTACTTAGATTTTAAAATTACAGTCAAAGCTCTTATACTATATGAATAAGAGTACAAATCTAAGAATGCAAAAAACAGGAACTGTAAATTAATGCCTAGAGAGGTGAAGCAGGCAACACAAAAAATCCATTCTATAACTTAATAAAACTGAAAGGCAAAGGATTCAGCTGAAGAACTTAAATCTGAGTTTGTCCTTCACTAAAACTTATTTTTCTTTCATTTAAGTCCCCTTCATCGCTTCCTCTCTGGTGCTATGTCCAAAAAGTGATGATTTTGTTAGGTTCTCTACTACCCTTATGAATAGGAGAAGGGTAAATAATTACCACGTATGACCTTAGTCCATGTGGCCATTCACAGATCCCTTGAACTGGGATAAAATTCAAAGTAGGGCATGTGATCTTGGTATACAGTCTCCAATGGGTCTTGAGTATAAACAGTCTGATATTTTGGGGCATGAGAAAAAGTATGCCGATATATTTCTCCAAATGTTATTTTAGAAGTTTATATAGTTTATAGCATCATCTATGTGTATATATATATATATATATATATATATACACATAGCTTAGAGTCTGACCTATATTGGTAGGTTTTTCCATTACCTTTTCTTATCTTCAATCAAACTAATTATTACTTGCAGCATACAAAGAGAATGGGGAAGAACACAAGAAATTAAAAGCTAAACTACAGTGAAAACTGGTAAAAGCTAGAGCACAGAAACCACAGTGCTTAAGAAGACAATGCCATCAAATTTTTTTCTTTTCCCTTCAAAACTTAATTTTTATCTGATCTCAGCAAAAACTAATCTTTTTATTTTGTCTTTTAGACATTTTCCCAATTTATGTTTTCCTTCTTTGTCGTTTCTCCAACTAAGCCTCTAAATCAGCCTTTCTCAACCAGGATTCCTCATCTGAACCACAGAACTCAGAAAATAATTTACAATATATGACAATTTTTCTCATTTTTCCCAAGGATGCTATATAATTAGTACCATTTTAGATGCATAGGATGCATACAGTGGGTGCTGCCTTAGGACCCTAGAGTTTAATTATCTCTGGAAACCACACTAGCTCAGAAGAGAAAGCTCCTTTATTACTTTTATATACTTGCTTTACAGTAAAGTAGGTTCATATTCATCTAAATACCATTAATTTGCTACCAATTCAGCTCATATGCATTAACTTTCCTTCTCATTTCAAGCCTTATCTCTCATGGTGGGTTAATGAGGTGAGTTAGGAACCAAACCACTGAATAATAAAAATGTAAGACCTTAATAGAAGGTTGGGTTCTAGTCCCATTTTTGCCGATTCCTGCCTTTTAATTGTTTTGAAAAATCACCTGAAGGCATATAGATATAACCTACTGTTCTGTATTTTGTTGCTATTTTGCTTGCTTAGTTTGATTTAGCCATGAAAGCAGTAAGCATGGTTTTCCTTTCATTAATCACCATAGTGGAGGGGTCAGGAAAATTTTTCTGTAAAGGGCCAGATAGTAAATATCTTGAGTTTTGCAGGCTATGCAGTCTTTGTCTCAGCTACTCAATTCTGCTGTCATAGCCCAAAAGCAGGCACAGACAATACATAATAAAGTGACATAAAATGGTGTGGCTGTGTTCAAATAAAATGTTATTTTAAATAATAAGTGTAGACAATAGTTTGCTGACCCCTGACTTAGAGTAAGGGGTTTGCAGTTCAATAAATACTTTTAACTAATGATGATGGTGAAGGTAAGAAATAGACCAGAGTGGCCGGGTGCTGTGGCTCACTCCTGTAATTCCAGGACTGCGGGAGGCTGAGGAGGGTAGATCATGAGGTCAGGAGATTGAGCCCATCTGGCTAACATGGTGACACCCAGTCTCTACTAAAAATACAAAAAATTAGCCAGGTATTGTGGCATGTGCCTGTACGTAGTTCCAGCTACTCAGGAGGTTGAGATAGGAGAACTGGTTACCCAGGAGGCTGAGGTTGCAATAAGCCTAGATCGTACCACTGCACTCCAGCCTGGGTGACAGAGCAAGACTCTGTCCCAGGGCAGGGATGGTTCCATACCTATACGTTCCTACTATGTAGCAGTGATAAAATTAGTTTCTGGTTTCTGTTAAGTAAAAAAGTAAAGACTAGAGTTTTATATCCACCTAAAGTGTATCCAGGCATATCTGGTAATTCTGGCAACGAGCAAAAAGCAGAATAAATACTATTGTTTTTATCATTTAATTAAAACAAAACAGTTAACTGAATCTACTATCAATAAGTAGAGTGCTGATGGTTAACACATTTATAGTCAAGAGTATTCAGAGTTACATATCCTTTCCAATACTGATTTACCATCAGTTTGTACTTATTGAGTACTATCAGGCACTAGAAACTAAACAAAACAAGACACAACAAGCCTGCAGTCACTGATTCTTGACTAGAACTGTGCACTAGAGTCACCTGGGAGGCTTTAAATTTTCTTTTTTTAGAGCCCCGCTGAAAAACCTACTAAATCAAAATCTTACTTGTTAGGGCCCAGGATAAAATTTTGGAAAAGTAACCTTAGTAATTTTGGGAGCTCCTGGTGAAGATTCACTGCTATACTTGTATTTTTTTTTTTTTTTTTTTTGAGACGGAGTTTCGCTCTTGTTACCCAGGCTGGAGTGCAATGGCGCGATCTCGGCTCACCGCAACCTCCGCCTCCTGGGTTCAGGCAATTCTCCTGCCTCAGCCTCCTGAGTAGCTGGGATTACAGGCACACGCCACCATGCCCAGCTAATTTTTTGTATTTTTAGTAGAGACAAGGTTTCACCATATTGACCAGGATGGTCTCGATCTCTTGACCTCGTGATCCACCCGCCTCGGCCTCCCAAAGTGCTGGGATTACAGGCTTGAGCCACCGCGCCCGGCCTATACTTGTATTTTTAACGAAAGGTTAAACTCTAAACATTTTCTAATCTATGGTCAGCAATTTGGTATTATAGTTTAGGTACATGGGTTTTAAAATCAAACAGACAGGTTCTGATCCCATTTCTGCGAATTTCTAGCTGTATAACCCTGGGGAACTTCTCTGTGCCTGAGTTTCCTTATCTGTAAAATGGGCATAATAACATCAACTCAACTCAGCATTGTTGGGAGAATTCAATATATGAAAAACAGCTGGTGTAGTGCCTGACACACACTAAGCACACAAAAAATATGAATCATTACTACTCATTACACATTTCTTAAATTAAAAAGAATATTATCAAGTACACTATAATTTAAAGGCCTGACTCAAGGGGCAAAGTCTGTTTAACAACTATTAGGAAAGTAATTAGGCTGATTCCAACTTGTCTTATACTAACCAACAGAAGAGATGTCCTTTTCCACAATCAACAGCAGGAGCTCTCAGCAATGGGAAGCTGAGTGTATCAGATCCAGATGTATTTGACCCTTGTTTTGTTAGTCTGACTGCTCTGTCACAGCCTGGAGTAGGACACCATTTAATGGCAGGATTATTTTCAACAAAGGCCTGTTTAAACAGCAATAACAAAACACACAAAAAATATTTTAATGCTAAATTCTAATACAGAGTGTACCTCTAGCATAATGTACTTTAAAGCAGAGAAAGAAAAAGAGTGAAATAAAATGCAAGGAGTTGTCAGTCTCAAGAAAGGTAAACAGGACTGCAAAGTACTGAAAAAATTAAGAAGAAGAAAGTGGCAATTAACTTAGTAACAACATGATTTTTAAAATTTATGTTTTCTTTAATCTAAAAACCAGGTAAATGATGATAAAGTAAAAATGTTAATTGTTCACACAGAAAATATATAATTTAAAAATGTTTTCTTGGCTGGATGTGGTGGCTCATGCCTGTAATCCCATCACTTTGGGAAGCTGAGGTGGGTGGATCACGAGGTCAGGAGTTAGAGACCAGCCTAGCCAACATGGTGAAACACCATCTCTACTAAAAATAAAAAAATTAGCTGGGCGAGGTGGTGGGTGCCTGTAATCCCAGCTACTTGAGAGGCTGAGGAAGAAAACTCGCTTGAACCTGGGTGGTGGAGGTTGCAGTGAGCCGAAATCACACCATTGCACTCTAGCCTAAGCAACAGAGCAATGACGCCATCTCAAAAAAAAAAAAAAAAAAAAAAGTTTTCTCATACAATGTGTCATTTTCTGATGAATATAATTGTTAAGTAGAAACTTGCATGTAGCTGTATTAAATGGTAAATTGCTAAATGGTACCCAAATAATACATAATAATCAATATTATGATACTTTCTATGTTAATGAAGAGGGGAATGGGCACAGTGGCTCATGCCTGTAAACCCAGAACTTTGGGAGGCTGAGGCAGGCGGATCCACCTGAGGTTGGGAGTTCGACACAGCCTGGCCAGCATGGTGAAAACCCGTCTCTATTAAAAATACAATAATTAGCTGAGAGTGGTGGTAGGCACCTGTAATCCCAGCTACTCAGAAGGCTGAGGCACGAGAATCGCTTGAATCTGGGAGGTAAAGGTTGCAGTAAGCTGAGACCATGCCATTGCACTCCAGCCTGGGCGACAGAGTAAGTCTCTATCTCCAAAAAAAAAAAAAAAGAAAAAGAAAAAAAATAGGATTTAGACTCAGTTTAACTGCATAGAGCAGTTAAAATGTAACTTTTAAATCATACAAATCATACACAAAATAAAGCAACTTGCCTACACTTAAGACTTCTGAATAAAAAAAGAAGACAGAAAAAAAAAAAAAAGAAATAAACATTATAATTCATTATATAAACCTATTACTTGGAATAAAAATAATAATAAACTTCCAAGTTGAGAATCTTTATTTCCAAATATTTTATTTAGGGACATAAAAGATAATGTATTTCAGAAAACTTAAAGTAGGTACGATCTAATTTGAACATTATCTTGATCAATCAGTTATAAAAGTGCAACAGGCAAATTAATAAACAGTCCTGAGAAATAGTTTTATTTTAAATTTCATAAATTACCAGTACTCCTTCCCCCTTTCCTATTGTTATAAAATAACACTTTAGCTTAAAATTTTGTCACCATTACTTTATGTAACTTTTCTGACAGTGTTTCTAACAAAAGTTAGAGCCCATTATTTTGTTTTCAAAAATAAAACAAGAATTAAACAATATGTTATAAACGTTGGACAGAAAATTGGCAGCATACCTTACCTTAATATCAAACTGTAGGTATCGTTTGTCCATCTCCTTTGAAACTACACTTTCTATGATATCCACAGGCACAAGTTGGAAGCAATCATATGCAGGGCAAAAAATGTTGTGAGCTTCACCTTCTTGAATTTTCAGATTCAAAAACCTATTAAAATGATCAATGGACAGCAAAGGAGTAAGGATATTAAGTTGTGAACACATTCTAAGAATTTTCCTTTTTCTTTCCTTTATTTTTAGAGACAGGGTCTCATTCTATCACCCAGATTGGAGTACAGTGACATGATCACAGATGACTGTAGCTTCAAACTCTTTGGCTCAAGCAATCCTCCCACCTCAGTCTTCTGAGTAGCCATGCCTACAGTTGCATGCTGCTATGCCAGGCTAATTTTTAAATTTTTGGTAGAGATGGGGTCTTGCTATGTTGTTCAGGCTGGTTTCGAATTCCTGGTCTCAAGTGATTCTCCTGCCTTGGCCTCCCAAAGCTCTGGAATTATAAGCATAAGCCACTGTACTTGGTCAATTTTTCTTTATGCTGAATTTTTTGTCAGAGTATAATTAAAATAATACCAACAAACATGAAAGAGCAACTGTAATGCATATTATCTGTTAAGTCATTCATTTTCTATATCAGTATATATGCATACACACACATATATATATACATATATATACACATATATACACTTGTTTATTTTATTTTTTTACGTTTCTATTGTGCTTTATCATTTCTAAAAATCTGAAACAATCTGAAAAAGTACTTTTATTTAAAATTAAAAATTCAGAAATGAGTGGCTCAGATCATATTCAATTCTCGATATGCTACAGCTTTAATGAAAAGGGGGCGATGGTATAAAAATTAGCCATAGATAATTCAAGATATTGTGGGGTGGCATTAGAATATAGCATAGTTTTTTGAAAAATAGGTTTATAGGTTTTCTCTTTATATTTCATTTAGATGAATATTAAAATAAGTTTTATGTCCTACTTAGGTATACTTGAGTAGTAAGGAAAACTGCCCTGCAAAGAAAGAAAGCAGGAATCTAGCCCAAGGTTAGATTAAAAGCAGGGTTCTTTTTTTCTTTCTTCCCCCCCCTTTTTTTTTTAAGGTGGGGTCTCTCTCTCTCTCTCTCTCTCTCTTTCTCTCTCTCTCTGTTGCATAGGTTGGTCTCAAATTCCTGGGCTTAAGCGATCCTCCCACCTCAGCCTCTTGAGTGAGTGGCTGGGATTACAGGCATGTACTACCATGCCCAGCTAAACGGACGGTTTTGAATTAGAAAATTCCAAATCTGCCACCAATAAGGCATATAATCATAAGCAATTTATTTAACTGTTTTAAGCCTCAGTTTCACCACATGTAAAATGGAGATAATGATGTGAACTTCCCAGGGTTGTTATAAAGATTATATATGTGAACAATCTACATGGTGCATGGCATAGAGTAAGAATTCATACATTTTAGCAAGGATTACTATTATTATTATTATGTAACACTGCCCTTAGAAAAGCAAGAAACAAAAATTTGAAATACAGATTATGTATATTGAATTTAACACTTAAATCTAGAGAAAATAAATGGAAAACCAGGCCATTAAATCACAACTGCTTAGCCCTCACCATCAACAGTTTGATTATTCCAACTATAGTATATATTTTTTAGTTCTCTCATTCTTTTAATTTCATTACATTACATTATAAAAAAAAAGAAAGCAACCTTATTGAGACCTTGGCAGGCCCGTTTCCTTTGCTCCGTCTTCTCTTTCATACCCTTGTCTGGGCACTTCATAGAAAACAGAGTCCCCATCAGGCAATTCTGTCACTCAAAGTGCTGTATACCACACCTCAAACCCAACAGTATCTTTAGCAATCTTTCCTTTCTTTCCACTCACTTCAGTGAAAGGGAGAGCTTCCTCTTTTACCCCCAAGCTAATCCTCAAATCTCTGGCCAACTCTGGGACTTGCACTATCCATTAACCTATCTTTTCTTTCTTTCACTTTCTAATGGCTCTTACCTTGGGCACAATAAACATGCTCAAGTTTTTCCCATTCTAAAAACCCTTTCTAACCACATGACTCTTTAGTTTCATTTCCTTTTTCTGTCACATCAAAGTTTCTTGATAAAATAGTTTATGATGATCTGTTATTCCTTCCTCATCCACTCCATACACTTCTCAATCTGTAGCATCAGGCTTCTATCACCTCTTCATTGGGCCACAATGCCTACCCATTAGCCCAATTTATTAAAGACCTCACAGTTTCTATCTTCCTTGATTTGTCTAGAGCATGAGACATTGTGAACATTTCCTTCTTTCAAATTCTCTCTGGCTTCTAGGAATTATTTTTTTCCCTTGGCATTCTTCCTATCTTTGGTAGCTCCTTATTCATTTTTTCACAAGTGCCTTTTTCACTCCTGTGCTAAACAGTGATATATAAGGTATAAGGTATACAGTGGCCAGGCGCAGTGGCTCACGCCTGTAATCCCAGCACTTTGGGGAGGCCAAGGCGGGTGGATCACCTGAGATCAGGAGCTCAAGAACAGCCTGGGCAACATGGTGAAACCTGGTCTCTACTAAAAATACAAAAAGTAGCTAGGCGTGGTGGCAGGTGCCTGTGATCCCAGCTATTTGGGGGCTGGGGCAGGAGAATTGCTTGAACCTGGAAGTGGAGGTTGCAGTGAGCCAAAATTACACTATTGCACACCTCAGCCTAGTGACAGAGTGAGACTCCGTCTCAAAAAAAAATATTGCTTCTTGGATTTTCACCTGAAAATTCTTCCCTTCCCATTTCATATAATCTCCCTGGGTTATCTAAACACCTCAAAACTATATGCTAATGACTGAAATTGAAAGCCTTGACCTCTGGGCTCAAGTGATCCTTCCACCTCAGCCTTCCAAGTAGGTGGACCTAAAAGCATGTGCCACCATACCTGGCTAATTAATTTTAATTTTTCTGTAGGAATGGGGTCTTGCTATGTTGCTTAGACTGATCTTGAACTCCTGGACTCAAGCAATCTTACCACTTAGACCTCCCAAAGTGATGGGCTTATAGGTATGAGCCACCATGTCTAGCCCAGGATATTTTCATTTAAATGCTACACAGACATTTTAAATTCAACATGATTTAAATCTTCCCCGCTATTTCCAATATGATTTAAAAACAGCATTGTCTCCAAAAAAACTCTGATATATCTCAGTAGAAGGGCATTAGGCACCTCAGTTTCCAGTCAGTCAATTATTTGTATAACTCTGAATGTTAGGGTAAAAAATATTTTGGCAGAAGGACAGACGGATGAAGCACTCGGGAAATGCTGGACGGCTGCAGTTCTCAAAATATGATCTGTGAAACTGTGGGGGTGCCTGACACTTTTCAGGGGGTTTTATGAGGTCAAACTATTTTCATAATGGAACTAAAACTTTTTTTTTTTTTTTGTTAAAACTGTTGGTGCCTCAGAACAAGTCAGAGCAGTGGCAATAAAACTGTCTTTGTATTCTTCCCTGACCTACACTTGCAGTTTTCAAAAAAAGTTTCATTTAACAATGTCCTTCGCCAGGTGCGGTGGCTCAGGGCTGTAATCCCAGCACTTTGGGAGGCTGAGGAGGATAGATCACCTGAGGTGAGGAGTTCAAGAACAGCTTGGCCAACATGGTGAAACCCTGGCTCTACTAAAAATACAAAAATTAGCTGGGCATGGTGGTGTGTGCCTGTAATCCCAGCTACTTAGGAGGCTGAGGCACGAAAATTGCTTGAACCTGGGAGGCAGAGGTTACGGTGAGCCAAGATCTCACCACTGCACTCCAGCCTGGGTGAAAGAGCAAGACTGTCTCAAAAAAAAAAAAAAAAAAAAAAAAAAAAAGTCATTGATAGAATCGTAAGAATTATTAATTTTATTAAACGATGACACGTCAATAAACATCTTTTGTGTATTCTGTGCAAAGAAATGGGAAGTAAGCATAATGAAATGCTGCTGTATACCCAAACATGATGGTTGTCTCAAAGCAAAGCTCTCTGGAGACTGTTGAAGTTGCAGGCAGACATACCTGCTTTTTCATTAAATACTATTTTTATTGGAAAAAATGACTATAAACAATGATTATTCAGACTTGGGTGTATGGCAGACACATTTTTTTTTTTTAATGAATGAAATAAGACTGTCACTTCAAGGAAAAAAATGACAGCATTTGTTGGCAATGATAAAATTCAAGCCTTCAAATAAAAATTAGAACTTTGAAAAACTTTTATCTGTCCCAATACTTAAAGACTTTTCTGATGGGATTGGTAATGAGATTAACTAATGTGATTTTTCACTATATTTATGTGTAAGGAAATATGTCAATGTTGGAAGATCTGCATAACTCAGGGGACCATTATTTTCCAAATGATCAATGAATGACATGACAAAATGATGCATGGGTAAAAGATCTATTCAAAATGCAAGATAGACTAATGGATTTTATATACACGTATTTTTGAGACAGGGTCTCATCCTGTTACCCAGGTTGGACTGCAGTGGCATGATCTCGACTCACTGCAGCATCAACCTCCTGGGTTCAAACAATCCTTCCACCTCTGCCTCCTGAGTAGCTGGGACTATAAGTGCATCTAATATAAACAAAAGCTCTTTGGAATCCTCAACAACTTTTAAGACTATAAAGAAGTCTTAAGACTGAAAGTTAGAGAACTGTTAACTGTAGAGTTCCTTGTTCATACAACAAGATTCTCTTCTTTTTAGCTATGAATAAGTGGGATATCATTTATTATAATACTTATAGCCCCTTGTCAAAGTTCAGAGTTTGTTTAGACATATTTACTACATGTTGATGTTTTGAATTTTATGTATTTTAAATATATGAGAGCAGATTTAATCATATCTGGGGAATTAAATGACAGAACTGAGAAGACATCATTGAAGATAGGATCAGTTCTTTTAGCCATGTTATTATTCTAATCAAGATACAATTTAACAACAATTTATGAGCAGAACATGGAGTTGATCAGTGTCAGTAAAAGAGATAAATCTGGGGCAAATTTTTCCTATATTTTTATCTTTCAGGCAAGATTCACAGATGATATCATAGGTAGGCTCTCTCTGCTATTACAACACTTAGGAAGATGATAAGTAATATTTATTGAGTGATTACTATATGCAAGATCCAGTTTTAAGCACTTCACATATAGTAGGAAACTTTAAAAACCAATGATAATCCTATGAAGTACTTACTATTATCACCGCTTTATAGATTAGGAAACTGAGGCACAGGCAGACTACCACCTACCTAAATCAACAACTAAGAGCAGAGTTGGAATTCACAACCCAGTGGCCTGCTATAAGCAGAATCTGAGCTCTTATCCTCAATATTAGCAAAGAAATTCTATTCTGGCTAGAAAATAATTTCTATCTAATCTATTGACTGATTGATCAACTGATCAACAGGGTCTTGCTCTACTGCCCAGGCTGGAGTGCAGTGGTGTGATCACAGCTCACTGTAGTTTTAACTCCTGGGCTCAAGTGATACTTCTGCCTCAGCTGCCCAAGTAGCTAGGACTACAGGCATGTGCCACTATGCCTGGCTATTCCCTTTTATTTTATCCCTTGGCATCCATACTTTAAAGCAGGAGTATCCAACGTTTTGGCTTTCCTGGGCCACACTGGAAGAAAAATTGTCTTGGGCTACACAAAAAATAGACTAACAATAATGACAGCTGATGAGCTGAAAACAAAAATTGCAAAAAAAAATATCGTAACGTTTTAAGAAAGTTTATGTATTTGTGTTGGGCCACATTTAAATCTGTCCTGGGGCCACATGCGGCCTCTGGGCCGCAGGTTAGACAAGCTTGCATTAAAGCATCTAGTTGTACTGATAAAAATGTTAGGACGAGTAAGATAGACTGAGGGGCTTTCAAACTATCTGAGGACCTTTAAAAACTATTCCTTGGTTTTAGACAGGAGTATCTTTTTCTATATTCCTAGAAAAAAACTGTGATAATTTAAAAATGATTTCGTTGGCTGGGCAAGGTGGCTCACGCCTGTAATCCCAGCACTGTGGGAGGCTGAGGCAGGCAAATTGCCTGAGGTCAGGAGTTCGAGACCAGCCTGGCCAACATGATGAAACCGTGTCTTTACTAAAAGTAGCTGGGTTTGGTGGCAGGCACCTATAATCCCAGCTACTCAGGAGGCTGAGGCAGGAAAAGCACTTGAATCCAGGATGCGGAGGTTGCAGTGAGCTGAGACTGCACCACTGCACTCCAGCCTGGGCAACAAGAGCAAAACTCCATCTCAAAACAAAAAAAAGATTTCATCAACATATGACTCACCCAACATGGAACTTATTTTATTGGTGACTGATTTGACAAAATTGGAGTGGAAAAGAGAATCCTAGGTAGGCTGGAAGGTACTAAGGAAATCAATAATTAGATCTTTCAAATTTAAATATTACCATAAAGTTCTTATGCCTAGTTTGTGATGAGTTTGAGAGATAGTTCCCATGATACAAGTCAGGTGAAGAAGGTCAATAAAGCTCAAAAAAATTCAAGAAAATCCTTGAAGGATTCAGTTTTCACATACACACCAAGACCAACAGCTAACTTGGTAGAGCTCAGGTAATACTTCCTAATTCAGTACAGTTAATAATTGTAAGACAAATAAAGTACTGTACCTGGGAGGTATTTTCTGCCTCCACAACTGGATTAAGGATAGCTTTGGATTGTGAGTTCTGACCCTTGTCAATTACTTTACCTGTTAACACCTGTACAGATCTGATTCTAAGTAGATTCTGAGTAGATGCTAGTCTGTCTTAAAAAGAACAACCAGATATTCTTATTTATTTTGACTTTTAAAAAGCAGTAGTTTTTTCCCCCTCCAAATGAAATCTTGCCTCTTACTCCAATTTGGAAAACAGATAAAGAAATGTACTCAAAATCAAACCAGACACTTTTGGGGGCTGAGGTGTGCGGATCACTTGAAGTCAGGAGTTTGAGACCAGCTTGACCAACATGGCAAAATCCATCTCTACTACAAATACAAAAATTAGCAGGGCATGGTGGTGTACGCCTATAGTCCCAGCTTACTCGGAAGACAGAGGCATGAGAATTGGTTAAACCTGAAAAGGAAGAGGTTGCAATGAACCAAGATAGCACCACTGCACTCCAGCCTGGGTGTCAGAGTGAGACCCTGTCTCAAAAAAAAAAAAAAAAAATTAAACCAGAATGACAGCTCAGTGGTTGCCTACAAATTGGGGGTGATAAAAATGGAGGCGGAAAGAGAAGAGTAGCAGGGATTCAATGGGAAATGAGGAAACTTGGGAATGAGAGATTCTAGGAGTTGTCATGATGGTTTCAAGGTTGTATACAGATATCAAAGCTTATCAAAGTATTTATTTTAAATGTGTGGCTTTATGTATGTCAATTGTACCTCAACAAAGCTGTTTAAAAAGAAAAACTCAGAAAGTCCACTCAGGTTCTTGCTCTCTCACCCACATAGTATTCCCCAGCTCCCTATACTTGCTAACTGGTATTCCATTAAAAAAAAAAAAAAGGTTGAAAACTTCTGATATCTAAGATTTCCTTAAATACCAATGACATGCTTCACTTAGGACATCAAACAATAGCTTTGTGTGTCTCCAGAGATAAACATGATATTACATTGCTAATTATATCAATCTTTGTTTAGAAACTTCTCTCGAAAAGTGTAACGTAGAGCAAAGTTAATGGATGGTGAAAAAAGTATAAATCTTGAAAGGTAATGGGAAGGGTAAGAAGCAAAACAAATTTTCCATTTGTAAAATACACCCAACTATGTCTAGCAGAAACATTTAACTTTGCATTCACTAAAAAGGAATTTTAAACATGCATAATCTTACAGATTTTCAAGGCATTTTGCTTGTCACAGAAAATTCAGAGACAGCACAAAAACAAATGCTTAAAATTCCTGGGATATAAGACAAATATATTCTTGTTTGAAATTTATATTAGATGTAATATAAATTAAAATACTAAAAAAACTATTTGTATACCTGCTTTGTTTCTAAAGGTATCTTATATTAAGCTAAATAGCATCAATTAAAATAGCTAGAGAAGATGTAAAAATAAAAACAAAAATACTTTTTCCTTACTAGTAGAGTCTAAATTCATTTCTGTGTAACTCAGAAGTCAATATAAACAATTCGTATCATTAAGTACTGAAAGCAAACAATTTTACTAACAAATCAGAGTGCTATCATGCAGTAAGAAATGCTAAGGTGCTCATATACTCACGACTCCCAACATCCTCTACAAAAATCATGTCCACAGGGCATATCCACGGGGTCTTCAAATACAGAGATACTGCACATACAAATGTCACACTGGAGATGAAGAACAACAATGATTTAAACATAGCTATACTTTTGAAAGAGAACAATACATTCATTTTGTTCCCTTTTTTTTTTGAAGACGGAGTTTCGCTCTGTTGGGCAGGCTGGAGTGCAGTGGTATGATCTCGGCTCACTGCAACCTCCACCTCTCGGTTCAAGCGATTCTCTTGTCTCTCCTGAGTAGCTGGGATTACGGTGTGCGCCACTACACGTGGCTAATTTTTGTATTTTTAGTAGAGATGGGGTTTCACCATGTTGGTCAGGTTGGTCTCAAACTCCTAACTTTGTGATCCACCTGCCTCGGCCTCCCAGTGTTGGGACTACAGGCGTGAGCCACTGCGCTCGGCCTTGTTTGCTGTTTTAAAAGGCAAAAATACTAGTACGGTAATTAAAATTTTTCAAAAGTGAACTCTTTCAAAGTTTTAAGGACAGTTAGTGTGCCTTTGAGTAACAAATACCATGACTACCTCGCTATAAATAATAATAGGATTTAAATGTTTTAATGCAAAAATCAAACCCTTAAATTCCAAATTTATGTAATGATCAGCAATTGTGCATTTGGAAAAGGAAGTACAAGAAACAAATCATTTGGGTCAACATCAAATTGTATATTGCAAAATAACCACTTCAGTATCATGTCCTTCACGTTACACTTACCCTTCAAAATCTACAAAAGCAGAGTAACTGTATTTTTAATTCGGCAACTCAAGATGTCCAGACTTTCCAGGGAGAGAACCCTGCTATAAAACTATGTATTAGGCTGGGCGCAGTGGCTCATGTCTGTAATCCCAGCACTTTGGGAGGCTGAGGTGGGTGGATCACTTGAGGTCAGGAGTCCAAGACCAGCCTGACCAACATGGTGAAACTCTGTTTCTACTAAAAATATAAAAATTAGCTGGGCATGGTGTTGAATGCCTGTTATTCCAGCTACTTGGGTGGCTGAGGCAGGAGAATCACTTGAACCCAGGAGGTGGAGGTTGTAGTGAGCCAAGATTGCGCCACTGCACTCCATCCTGGGCAACAAGAGCAAAACTCCATCTCAAGAAAACCCCCAAAAACAAAAAAATAACTATGCATTAAAATTATGCCATTTTAATAGCAAAAACTACAATCACTTTTATGCCTACTTAATATCTTCTAAATAATAACTCTCTAGAAGCAAAATTTATCATGTTACATTTGCAAATTACAGGATTCTGTTTTTCAAAAAGGCACAGATCAAATGAGAAGGACTTTGATATTTATCACATATTTTGAGTGGCTGAGTCATTCAAGAAATATAAAAATCTCCTATAACAGCACACTAATGATATGCCAATTAAAAGCGCTGACAATGGCAGTACTGTTTCTTAAAATAACAAAACACTTATTTTGGAAATGCATCTAGATAACAAACTCCAGAAGCTTTACTGAAACAAATACATAACTATCAATATATTGTAAATGTTTAAAAATTAGCTTTTAAGACATTATAAAAAATGTTTTTGTATTTTTGGTTTACAGTACTTACCACAAACTTAACTTTTTATATTTCAATATGATATATATATGTGTGTACGTATTTTGAGATGGCGTCTTGCTATATTGCCTAAGGTGGTCTCAAATTCTTGGGTTCAAGTGATCTTCCCAGTTCAGCCTCTTAAGTAGCTGGGATTACAGGCACACACCACCGTGCCTGGCTAATATGTTGTATTTAAATCTATTTTTTAAAAAAAATTTAAATTATTTTTGGAGATGGAGTCTCGCTCTGTCACCCAGGCTGGAGTGCAGTGGTGTGACCTTGGCTCACTGCAACCTCCGCCTCCCAGGTTCAAGCAGCTCTCCTGCCTCCGCCTCTCGAGTAGCTGGGACTACAGGCGCATGCTGCCATGCCCAGCTCCTTTTTTGTATTTTAGTAGAGACAGGGTTTCACCATGTTGCCAAGGCTGGTCCTGAACTCCTGAGCTCAGGCAATCCACACGCCTTAGCCTCCCGAAGTGCTAGGATTACAGGCGTGAGCCACCACACCAGGCCTGTATTTAAATCTTTAAGCAATTGAAGTTTTTTTTTTTTTTTTTTTGAGACGGAGTTTCACTCATGTTACCCAGGCTGGAGTGCAATGGCGCGATCTCGGCTCACCTCAACCTCTGCCTCCTGGGTTCAGGCAATTCTCCTGCCTCAGCCTCCTGAGTAGCTGGGATTATAGGCAAGCGCCACCATGCCCAGCTGATTTTTTGTATTTTTAGTAGAGACGGGGTTTCACCATGTTGACCAGGATGGTCTCGATCTCTTGACCTCGTGATCCACCCACCTCGGCCTCCCAAAGTGCTGGGATTACAGGCTTAAGCCACCGCGCCCAGCCTACCAATTGAAGTTTTAAGGGAAAATAAAATAGAAGGTTTCCCTAAACTGTTTTAAGCTCTGTTTTGAAATGAGGAAAGAAACCTTTTTTTCAATCTACAATTCAGAGATTACAAAAATATTCTGTAATAATAAAAATTGACTGAAGCAAGAAAATAACTGAACCTTTCAAGAAAGATATAGGATTCAATTACAAGAATACAATAAGACACTCCATGGAACAATATTAAATTATTTGAATGCTAAAAGACTAAAAATAAAGCTATGAGAAGTAAAGTGAATACCAAATCATACCAAACTGGTATCTAAATCCCCAGGAGATAAGCTGATTTCATCTGGGGAAGTGACAGAAGAGCGTGTAGTCCTTGGAGTTCTTGGAGATGGGAGTGTGTCCCAGGCATTATACCCACTTGGTGGTGGAGTTGGCATTTGAACACCTGATCGTTGGCAGCAGTTCTCTGGGTTGGACATCCAAGCTTCAAGTAATTTCTCCCTGTCCCAGTCTTAAAGAAAAATGGAATGCATAGCTCTCAAAAAACAGAAAATTTGGTAATGTTTTAAAAGCTATATAATAACAAAAAATGAGAATAAATTTTAAAATGTAGGTCATAAAGAAAAACGTATTATATAAAAGTAGTAACTGCAAATGAATGTCTAGGTATGTTCTTGTTATTAACATTTTTACACCAAATTTACTTGATTGTGGCTTACAACCATGCCAAAATCTAGCAGTATGGTCAAAATTTCCAGGACTTTCTACTAACAATCAAAACAGGTCACTCACATATCACTCTTGGAATTCACTACATTTCCGCTGGGATAGGTTTAATTTAGCTTCTTTACTCTTTCAAAAAATATAATTTTGTAATTGTCTTCACTGGCATCAAGTTGTAAAATGATTACACAGTTCACTACAGATATGTCAAGATGTCAATAGCCTAAAAATCATTTAATAAACAGCTGAAAGCAGAAGAAACTTCTGAAGAAATTAGAGTTATAAATAAAGTTTTAGTGAATTAGGTATAAATTCCATATTAAGAGATCTCGAACCTGGCTTAACCAAAAAAGATTATCTTCCTACTGTGAACATTTTAAAAATTGCCAAGTAAAACATATTATAATGTCTAGAGCCATAAAAACCTAACCCTTTAAAAACTACAAACTAATGCATTCAATTACTTTGCTAGGTGTTTTACACACATTACTTCATTTAATGCCCCCAGCAGACTATTCAATTATTATTTAGGTGAAGAAATCAAGACTGAAGGAAGTTACATAACTTGTCCAAGTTCACACAGAGATTTGGAACCAATTTCTGTGATTCCAAAGCCTGTGTTCTTTCCATGATCACACACTGTTTCTGAGAAGACCAAAGGGTAAATTATTCACTGTAAGCACATTCTATAAAATTTTATAGCTCAAATACGAATAACTGGAAATTTTCTACACCAGGTTTTTTTTTTTTTTTTTTTTTTCCAACCATATTAAGCCAATGTATTTGGCAGTTTAACAAGGTAAGTATGACTTCAACATGCACTGAAAATAGAGGAGTATATTTCCAGGTAAGAAACATAAACAAACACATATAAAAATACAGATGCTCCTTGACTTATGATGGGGTTACGGTCTTATAAACCCATTGTAAACTAAAAATATCGTGAGTCGAAAATGTGTAGTTGACTAGGAGCTATGGCTCAAAGCTGTTGCCTAGCATTTCAAGAGTAGTGTGGATCTACTGAATGCATATTGATTTAGCACCATTATCAGCAAAAAAAAATCGTAAGTCAAACCATCCTAAGTCAGGGACTATCTGTATATACAGAGGTTTTCTGGTGATTACTTTACATAAGTAGAATGTCACGTAAACTTTATCTCCTTTTCCCACTTAATCAACCTGAAAATCTCTCTAAGTAAACTAGTTTAATATTAGTTTCTTCTTTTTAATGACTGCATATTAATCTACTGTATGAAACAATTTGTGTGTCATGATTTAGTCAAATATCCCCCTACTTTGTTTACAGTTACTTCTCTGCCACAACGAGGCTGTAATATACATCAGTGCAGTTACAGTCATGTATATATTCATGTTTATATTGATATTTCCTTGGTATAAATTCTCTGGAATGAGGCAATGAGTCTAAGGCCCATCATGTTTTTAAAAGATAATGCTAGATGGCTTTCCAAAAGGGTTATAACAATTTTTTTTTTTTTTTTTTTGATACAGGATCTCACTGTCACCCAGGCTGAAGTGCAATGGAATGATCTGAGCTCACTGCAGCCTCCGCCTCCCAGTTCGAGAGATTCTCATGCCTCACCCTCTCAAGTAGCTGAGATTACAGGCATGCACCACCGCTCCCAGCGAAGTTTTGTGTTTTGTTTTTTAGTAGAGACAGGGTTTCACCATGTTGCCCAGGCTGGTCTCGAATCCCTAACCTCAAGTGATCTGCCTGCCTCAGCCTGCTGGGGTGTGAGCCACCACGCCTGGTGGGTTATGGCAAGTTTTACGTCTGTCAGCAATGAGGAACCTTACCAATTTTTTCTAGAGCAACGAATGTTAGTTCTTTTAAACATTTATAAACTGATAGTTCATTGTTATTTTAATTCACATTTTCTTGACAACTGATGAATTCAAACATCTTTTGATGTGTTTCTTGGCCATTTGGATGTGCTCTTCCATGAATTACCTATCCATACCTCTCTTTGCCATTTTGCTACTGGGATATTTACCAATTTCTTATCAATTTAAAGAAGGTTTTCGTATACAATAAACATTAGCTAATATTGTTTCCAAATCAAAATTATGTTTCCTTACTTTGTATACTTACAACAAAATGCTAAAAATCCAATATACTTTAATATAGATATCTCTTCTTTAGCTTGTTTTCTTGTCTTAGAAACTCAGAGGTTTTCTTCTGTCTTTAGATTTACATGTAAGTCTCCTAGACCTTCTCCTAAAATTGATGAATTTACTTTATATCCCTCATCCTTTTTTTCCTTGGTCTTCCAATTTAATTTAATTTAATTCATTTGACTGGCCATCATATTAGGATCATTTAATAAATTATATATCCTTTACCTACTGATCTATAATGTCATCTTTAGATAAATTCCCAAATACTGTAAATTATATTTACTATTCTGTTTCAATGGCCTATCTGTCTACATTTGAACAAGTGCCATGCTGACTGAATTGCAGTGGCTTATAGTGTGTTCTCTTTTCTGGGAAGGCTAACTCCTTTCACTGAATGAGTGCACCTGATCTCTGTGACTGTTAGGAAACTGAGGAAGAGCTGAATAGGTAGGCTGAGTCCTTTTATTTAGACCCAAGGTTGGGCTCAGAGTTCAGAGACAGCTGCATTACAGAGACTCAGGATTAGCATAAAAGATTACCTTGCACAAAAAAAGCCATAATTAAAAAAAAAAATTAAGTGGCCAAATAAAGAGAATGGTTCCATGGTTCCATTTGAGACACAAATTAACGTTCTTTAAGACTAAGGGAGGAGAAACACTTCAAAGGAAAAGTAAAGAAAACACTTACCAAAGAACTAGAATTTTCTAATGAAGATAATACATGTAATTGAGCCCCCATCATTAAAAAACAAAAACAAAAACAAAAACCCTACAACCAATCAAACCCCAGAAAAATAAAAGAACATGAGAAAGGTAAAGCAGAAATTATATGTTAGGAACTATTGATAGAAAAAAAATGATAGACAACCTATAAACTGCAGAAAAAAAGAAAGACAAAAATCTAAGAATTAAAAAGAAAATCTATTTGGAAAAACTAATTGGAAAAACTCAGCATAAACACATTGAAACTGAAAATATGATACGGCTATATGTAGAGAGAAAACTAAAACTCTAACAAAATGCAATGTCTTTCAAACTGTAAACTTAGTTATAGGCAGAGCTTGACCTATATTGCAATTGATTTTATCGCCATTACTCAGCCTAGAGCCTAGTTCAAAGTGTATATTCAATAGAAATCTGTTGAATGAACAAATAAATATAAAACCACATGCCGATATTATTACTGAAGTAGATAATATTCCAGGAAATTGTAAATGATTAAGGCTGAAGAATTCATGAAAAGGTAGTAATTCTAAGCAGACTAATAACATTGGAAGAAACTGAAGAATACAGTCATTATTTCTTTAAAAAGTATAGGGTTCATATGGTTTCATAAACAAATTTTAAAAAATTTTCAAGTAGAAATTAATTCTTATGTCCTTGCATAAGCATAAAGAAAAAAGAAAGATTCCTAGGTTTTTTTTTTTTTTTTTGAGATGGAGTTTCCATTGCCCAGGCAATGAGAACGATAAATTAAAAAAAAATTTTCAAATAGAAATTAATTCTTGTGTCCTTGCATAAGCATAAAGAGAAAAGAAAGATTTCTAGATTTTGTTTTTGTTTTTGTTTTTTTGAGATGGAGTTTCACTCTTGTTGCCCAAGCTGGTGTGCAATGGTGCGATCTTGGCTTACTACAATCTCCACCCCCTGGGTTCAAGCGATTCCCCTGCCTTATCCTCCCAAGTAGCTGGGATTAAAGGCACCTGCCATCCTGCCTGGCTAATTTTTTGTATTTCTAGTAGAGATGGGGTTCCACCATGTTGGCCAGCCTGGTCTCGAACTCCTGACCTTAGGTGATCCATGTACCTCTGCCTCGTAAACTGCTGAGATTACAGGTGTGGGCCACCGCACCCGGCTCCTAGATTTTTTTTAAAAGCAATTATAAAAACCTAAAATGCCAAAACCCAACCTTCAAACCTTGACATTATTAGCACAAATAGTTGGGATATGTAAAATGCAAAATCATAGAACGCAGAATTATAAAAACAACTATATACACATACCTCAAACATTTAATAAAACATATGTATTAATTTACTAATTGTTTTTTATTTTTGAGGGAAGGTCTAGCTCTGTCACCCAGCCTAGAGTGCAGTGGTATGATCACGGCTCACTGCAGCCTTGGACTCCTGGGTTCAAGTGATCATCCTACCTCAACCTCCTGAGTAGCTGGGACTTAGGTGTGTGCCACCATGCCTGGCTTTTTTTGTTGTTGTTTTTTAATTTTTGTAGAGACAAGGTCTCACTATGTTGCCCAAGTGTGTCTTGAACTCCTAAGCTCAGGTGATCTTCCTGTCTTGGCTCTCAAAGTGCTAAAATTACAGATCTCAGCCACTATACCTAGCCTTACTAATCTTTTCTATGTAGGGCCAAGCGCTTTTCTTTGACTTATTGTTCTCCTTCTATTTCCCATTTCTTGCCTAAACTATACCCACAAAACATTGCCCATTTCTCATTGTTATTTCCTTAGATTAAGATTTAAAACACATTCAGATAGCAATATGAATATAAAGGACAAGATTTTTATGACCTCCCCTTTTTCTTCAGTTATTTCACTCACACATAATGTCAGAGCAATTTTAAAACAAACTTGCCTTTATCAAGGTTTTCTAAAGCCTCCAAATGAGATTTCAATAAATAACTATTTACGCAT